AACATTTCTCCTGTTGTATAATCTAAACACTTTGCTCTCTGCCTTTTCTCACATATGTCTTTGGAAGGGAGGGAGATGAACACAGGATCAGTCTTCATGCTTCACATAAACACACACGGTATTAGTCACTCCTGACAAGGCTTCTTAATTAATCTACACTGTTGCTGCTTTTTAAAAGTTCTCTGACTAATTACAGTTCTATACAGTCATTATTGGTGATATGTACATGTGCCCTGGTAATGTTACCCTAAGAGGCAAATGAAAGAATTCTGATTCACAAGCTTAATGCAGGTTAAGGCAGGGGTTTGCTTTAAACATCACTGTGTGACCAGCTAATACTCTTCCACTGCTACAGCTCTTCTGAATGAACACAGAAAGGGTGAGACTCAATGCTTTTTGTTTAAACTGGGATAACGGCACACACTGTCACACTAGCTCCTGGATAAAGTGGGAGTGCAAAACTTCCAAATAAGCACTTGCTTTGAACCATATCAGTTCCTACTGACAAATCACTAGTTGTAAGGCTAAAATTCATTTAAGTGGTGGTAATCTGGGCTGCAGCAGCTGGAGTGTTAAAACCAGCATCCTTGGCTAAATTCTGTTATGATTGCTAAACATAGATGAGGCCCTGCATGAAGGTGATCACCAACAGGGTCTCAGTTCATAAAAGATGAGTATTACTATGCTTTCTTCTTTTGTTGTGTTGCAATCGGTAAATGATTTGTACAAAGGATTCTTCCAGCTGTTGCCACCGGAGGCAGCTGCAGTTCAACAGTTTTATCATAATCAAATTTGCAACAGTATTTATGATATTTCACAGAAGTGACACCAATAAGCAGGGAGTCATGTACATGTGCTAGAGCAGGAAAACTGACTGCAGCCGTTCACTGGAGTTTACTGAAACGACACAGCATTTCAGACTTTTAGCACCTAGTTTACCATTAGGAGGTTCTGAACTTGTTAATGAAGTCAGCGTTTATCAGATTCATTTACAAAGGTTTAATGATCTAGGGAATTTAGAATGTGTTGGAATTGTGTTCTTGTCTCACCCAATGCACACACATACAGTATAGTGCACATTCTGCAGCTTTGTGCACACCTGTCAGCGTGTTGGGTTTTTCAGGTCAACTTCAGGTGTGTTTACATAAGATTGTGAGGCTAAAGATGTCCTCCGCTCCCTGCCGCTTCCCTCTACTCCTCCAGCTTCTGCCTCTGCAGCCGTTAATCAGAGAGTGATGTACAGAATGTCCTGCTCACCTCCCCATTCCAGCTGTGCATGGTTTCTACACCCACCCTGTGTGTGAAAGATGGGCAGCTCACAGATGCATGCTCCAATTTGAGCAATAGAAACAAATCTATATGCATGTATGTTTCTAAAGAGAGTGAAAGGGGGCCTCTTACACAATTAGTGTGGTATTCGAATTTCACAGGGATGTCCAATGATTTATTATGTGTACTGAGGTTATCAGTCTTTTACTCCTGTGTGTGTAAAAGTATTTTACAGACTATGATTAATTTTAAAGTTCCATTATTCCTCATTGCTGGCTGGTTGATTAAAAGTCATTTTAGTACCCTCTTCATGTTTCTCTTATTATGCTCTCATTGAGACCATGTAGAGTTGTTGGTGTAATTAACTACGCATCGTTTTGTTGCTTCAGGCAGCACATGTGGTGGCATGACTTCCTTTTGTTTCTGAGCTGTTACAATGATACAGTTCCACTGATGTCTGGTTTGAATAGGGTTCATGTGATTTAATTACTTGCTGTTAATTAAAACCCAAAGGCTGTATTTGTGGTTTACATAGTGTAGTCATGTTACTTATATGATGCAGTGACCTTTTGCTGAGTTTCTCACTTGGTGGACATCACTCACATCTTTGTTGGGCTTTTTTTAACTGTATATTTTTAACCTATCTAATATCAGAGCGGCTCACCTGGAACTGTTTGGTACACTTTAGCCAAAAGTCGATGGTTGCATGTTGCTTTCACTTCTTAAAGCCTGTAAGGATGTTTTTATGGGACAGGTTTGGTAAGCTTATATCTTTTTGTCATTATCAACAAACCCCATGAGAGGGCAAAAGTAAAACTGATCTTTATTCCAAAATAAATGTTACAGCTCTTCACAAGCGGTGCAAAGCATCAGCATGATACAATGTTAAAAAAGAAAAAAAGGCAAAGATAACCCTCCCACCCCCAACAAATTATACAAAATGCAAATACATAAGTTCAAGACAGTATGAATGAGCCTTTAGAAGTTTTATACACCTGCCTAATAAGTTAAATGATCTAATAGTGAAGGACAAAGTATGCCCCAGTTTCAACACATGGACAGCAAATGCACAGTGTGTGTATCCAACGTACTATACACACACACTTGATGATAATTTAATATACCTGACCACACTGTTGCACTGGGTGACATGTTCCTTCATTAACATGGACTCACATGCTGTACACTGGGCGGCTGCTGGAAGTACTTCAGCACCAACTGTTTGATAATCTGCAGCTGAACTGTTTGTTTCTTTTTGGAGTTCACCTTCACTTTTGATGGCAGATTCATTCCTCCTGAGCATAGGTGACACCAGTCTTGTACAATCTGTGGAGAGACGTTCACTGTTCTACACAGATGATTCTTTTAAGATGCTCTTAGATGGACGGGTTTTGTTTTCTGTCTTCCACTCTAAAGGTGGACGTATTTGGCCTGATCATGTGTTTGTGTGTGTGTGTTTCGTGGTGTGTTTTGGATCACTGTCATGTCGGAACATTCCTCTCTTGCCAAGCTTCCCAGGACTGGGAGTCATCTTTTCATCTAGTGTTTGCATATACAAACTTGAATTGATAGTGTCATGTACAAATGGCATCTCCCCCACATGTTATTCATTCATGCCGCTCCATATCAGAGCCCTCCCAACTCCACATTTCAAGGTCGGCGCTATTCAGTCACCGTGGTAGTCCTTGCTGAGGCCATGCGAAACATGCTGGACTCCATCTGATCCAACACATTTATTTTGGCTTCATCTGACCAAAGAATGTGCTGCCAGCATTATTTGAGCTTCTCTTCGTGCTTTTTGGCAAAGTTTGGTGTTGTAGTTATGTGAGCAGTGTTTTTGTTCTCCGTCTTAGACATTGCAGTGATCACAGATGTACTTACAGCCCAGATTGTATGTTGTAACTACAATAACTGGAGTAAAGTTCAGTCTGACTGCAGGTCATTGAAATTCTGGTGAGAGCAGACTGGCAGATAATTGTCATTCCACTGATGTCCCCTTGTCTATACTGGCACCTTTAATTACAGTATGTGTGTGTTTCTCTTCTGTGTCCATATCTTTAATGAAGAGCGCCATGCTGCACTCTAGATTCAGCCTTCTGCCTTTTTATTACTTTTATGTTTCCAGATGAACTCAAATCTGTCCCTTCTCTTGATGGAGACTTGATTCACTGTTCGCTGTGACTTTCTCCACACTTTAATGTAGTCTCACACCCGTAGCCTCGAGCTCGTACTTTAATATTTCAAAACATGAAGATTTAAGGCTTTAAATGTTTATTACTGCTTCCCTTATGAATAGATACAGTGCAGTGGAATGTTTTACCCATGATCACCATACATTGGTTTTATTGGTTCATTTTCTAGTAACCTGGTTTTAACATGGGTTTAAAAATGACCCTAAAACCACAGAGTAGGTTTCAACTGTTTCAGTATTGTTAGACATTAATTGACATAGTATTGGAACATCAATTCAGTTTCAATTTAATTTTATGTGTATAGCGCCAAATCACAACCAAAGTCATCTCAGGACACTTTACAAACTAAGGCCTAGACCTTACTGTTATCAATATTATTACATAGGGAAAACCCAACAAATCCCCCTTGAGCAAGCACTTGGCGACAGTGGGGAGGAAAAACTCCCTTTAACGGAAGAAACCTCCGACAGACCCCGGCTCTTGGTGGGCGGCCTTCTGCCTCGACCGGTTGGGGTGAGTGGATAGAGGAGAGACAAAAGAA